CACCGCCGGAGCTCCGCCGAGCGCCGGCCTCGCGCGCAGCCTCTTCTTGCCGCCGCGGATGACCACGGCGACGGGTGGCGTCGCGCCGGCGCCGTCCCGTGCCACCGCCGCACCGTTGAAGCTCCCCAATGCGGCGCGGCCGAAGAAGGGCAAAACTTCGGCGAGGAAAAACAAGGCGGCGGACGGCTCCGGCGGCACGAAGGCGAGGGGAAAGAAGCTTGCAGGGCGTTCGACGGCTGCGGCGGCTACCGAAGCGCCGGCGAGCTCACTCGTTGAGCCGGCCGCCGACGCGCACCATGTGTTCGACGAAATGCCCCCAACGTGAAAAAAATTCTAACTTTTATTTTCTTCTTGTTTTTCAATGCATCATCACATATAGATAGCTTATTTGCATTGTTCAAAAAAATTTGTAGTCTCAATGATGATGCATACATGTCAACTATGGGTGTTGGGTCCAACAATTCGCATTGGTCTCAAACCAATGACATCCATTTGGAAGACCATGAGTTTGAGGTGGACGAGGAGGGTGAGGGCATTGTCGACGCGCCGAAAGGAAGAGCGGGCAATTACAGCACCAACGATGACAAGTTACTATGCAATACTTATTTGCAAGTGTCAAGGGATCCATCCATTGGAGGTGATCAAAGTAGAGATGTGTATTGGGGGCGAATGAAAGAATACTTTGATGCTCACAACATGAGTGGAATTGACCGCTCGGAGAGATCACTTCGGTCCCAATGGTCCACAATCAACTCGGATTGTCAAAAGTGGGCGGCCGCACAAAAGTCAGTTGACAAGATTAACCCAAGTGGCACAAATGAGGATGATAGAGTAAGTGGCATCTCATATATGTTCATCTCATACTTGTTTTTGGTGTCCGAAGTGCTAACTTGTTTTGTTTTTCTTGTAGTTCAACATTGCACAAAACTTGTTCAAAGAAGAGACGAGGAAAACCAAGAAGGGGAAGATCAAGAAAGGAAGGTTCTTTACCTTGTCTTATTGCTATGAAGTGTTAAAGAATGATGAGAAATGGAAGAATCGTGATGGTTTGGATGATTTGCATTTGAGAAACAAACGCAAGGTGGATGATGATGAGGAGGAGGATGATGCATCAAGTAATGACGGCAAGAGAAGCCCCACACCCAACTCGATTTCATACTCGAAGCCAAAACGACCGGATGGGTGCAAGAAAGACAAAACCGAAAAGAAGAAGGGGAAAGGATATGATGAGCTCAAAAATGCTATGGAAGCTATTGTGAAGGCAAGAAAAGAAGCCAACGAGGTGAGGAAAATGGCAAGGAACCAAGATGCCGCGGCCGAGGAGAGGAGGGTGGCCGCCGAGGAGAGGAAAGTGGCATTGGAGGAGAGGAAGGTGGGCATGGAGGAGCGATCTAGGTTGTTGGAATGGGAGAAGCACTTGTTCTTCTTGGACACATCTTCGTTCAATGGTGCGCAAAAGGAATATGTCAACCTTGCTTGAGAAGAAGTCTTGATCCAAAAAAGAGCCATGATCCGCACAATGGGTGGCGGTGGCCTTGGCGGCATGGGTGGCGGCGCCATGGGAGGCATGGGTGGCTTCGGCGCCATGGGAGGCATGGGTGGCTTGGGCGCCATGGGAGGCATGGGCGCACCTCCGGCCGCCATGGGAGGCATGGGCGCACCTCCGGCCGCCATGGGAGGCATGGGTGGCTTTGGAGCACCCTCTGACACTATGGCCGCCATGGGAGGCATGGGCGCACCTCCGGCCGCCATGGGAGGCATGGGTGGCTTTGGAGCACCCTCTGACATTATGGCCGCCATGGGAGGCATGAGTTTCGCTACTCTTATGGGAGGCATGGGTGCACCTCCGGCCATGGGTGGAATGTCTTTTGATGTGCCTCCTCACACACATTCCTGTGAAGATGCCGTTGAAGATCTTGCCAACACCGTCAGAGCTTCACGTGATGCGATGCGTGATAAGGATAGGGAGGAAGATTCATCTTCGGAAGCGGAAGAATCGTCTTCGGAAGATGACGACGAAGACGAGGAAGATGTTTGATGTGTCTTTCATTTATATGTCTTGAACTTTACTTTGCATTTTGAACTTGTGGGTATGAACTTGGTTGGAAGATGTTTGTGACAAATTTCACATGTTCATTGCATTTTGATAATTGTTTCAAACCCATTTTGTAGCTAAGTCGCGCGCGCCCGGCGAGTCGCGCGCGCTGTATTTTTGCGCGCTGCATTATAGTGCGGCTGCTGGAGCCAGCGCTCGCGGCCGCGCTAAACCAGCCGAAGCGCGCGCGGCAAACAGGTTTTTTGCGCGCGGCGCATAGCGCGGCTGTTGAAGATGCTCTTATGCATAAAGTTTAACTATGATAGCGTGATGGCTTGGCAGCATGGCAGCTGCTATCCTCCATGCCAGGGAAGTGGTAGTGATGCAATTTTTCTCACAGCATACCTAAGTTCTAGCTTGAGATGAGTGTGCTTTTCGCTGACACGGAGCTGAAAGTAAAATCTGCGGATGTTCTCCAGGGTTCAGAATTGTGACCACATGATGGTTTCAGTCTTTTATTAGTTGATTTATAGTCTTGGGCCCAAAAAGAAACGAAAAAAACCACGGCCCAGTTATTTTGTTCTCCCAAAGGCTCAAAGCCCAAAGCCGACACACACCCACTTTCCCCCAACCCACCGAACCCCACGGATGAGCTCGCCGGCGGCCGCCGCCGCGCCGCTTCCCCCGGACGATCTCCTCCGGGAGATCCTGCTCCGCCTCCCGCCGGAGCCGCTCCACCTCTTCCGCGCCTCCTTCGTCTCCAAGCACTGGCGCGGCCTCGTCCACGACGCCCGCTTGCTCCGCCGCTTCCGCGATTTCCACGGCGGCACGCCTCCCGTGCTCGGCTTCCTCAACCAGAAAGGGCCTCCCTTCTTCGTCCCCACCTCCGGCGGCTTCGCGCTCTCCACTGCTTCGATGTCCCCCGATGACTGGTGGGCCTACGACTGCCGGCACGGTCGCGCCCTCTTTTGGAGCTGCCGCACTGGGACGCTGCTCGTCTGGGACCTCGTGACCGGCGACGAGCGCTACCTGCCGTTCCCCGCGCAGGCCTCTCATGGGTGCTTCGAGTACAATGCCGCAGTTCTGTGCGCGGCTGGCCACACCGACCACGGCGACTGCCATTCCTGCCCGTTTCTCGTGGCGTTCGTGTTCAGTCACCAGTCCAATTTCATCACCTCCGCATGCGTCTTCTCGTCCGAGACCGGTTTCTGGGGTGAGATCACTTCCATTGTTATACCACATGCATTAGTTCAGGCAAAGCCGACGGCTCTGGTTGGAAACACACTCTACTGGCTGTTGGATAATGACAGTATCATTGAGTTCGATTTGGATAAGCATAGCTTGGATTTAGTTGAGGAGCTGCCATATGGCTATGATCAGATTATCATCATGCCGACAGAGGATGAGTGCCTTGGTTTAGCCGGAGTGGAACGATTCAATCTCCATCTGTGGTCAAAGTTGGCGAGCATTGACGGGGTAGTGACATGGACACACCAAAGGGTGATTGATCTCAAAAAGTTTCTTCCCCCCGAAGTAGTGGCAGGGTATATGGTTCAAGATATTCGAGCGGAGGCATTTGGCTATGCGGAAGATGCTGATGTGATCTTCATTGATGTGTATCCTAGCATCTACATGATCCATCTCAAGTCCATGAAGGTCAAGGAGGTGGAGGTGTCAGGCAAACGCATCTGCAGATACATTTTTCCTTACTCAAGTTTCTACGCTCCAGGTACCACCATTAATTACTTCCAATGTCGCAGAGTTCACTTCACTATTCCAAATGTATCTGCCTTGCAGTTGCTTTCAAATATATGAGCCATAGTTCATTTATAGATGACAAGTTTTCCTGGAACTTCTTGTGAAAGAATTGCTTATTATGTGATGAACCGTTAATACTCTGCACTCTACTGATTATTGATTCCCGCATCCTCCTCACTGTGAAAATAACCCTTTCACAACTAAAAGATGTATGTGAAGCCCTGGCATTCTTACTTGTATGTACTTCACATTTTTACTCTTCATCCAGACCCACATCCAGCCATTTGCTTGTATCATAACTAATATTAATGAACTAGTTTATTTGTACAGGGGATAAATCAATTTCTCGTTGTTCAGTTGGGCTATACATTTAGATCTAAACAGTGAGCAACTGAGCATTATGTTTATTGCTAGAGTTTGGGCTTGTACATTTAGTCATGTGTCACCGTTAAAAGGTGATATGCTTACCAGTAAACATGCACTTGAGGAACAATATAGTTGTATGATTGATTGATTGTATCCTGGCACCAATTTATAATTGTTCTGTCCCTGTTGCCTTGTTGTGGTATTGGATAATATAATCTCACCGGCTCATGAGAGTTGATAAATCGAGGAACTAAAGTGACCAAAAGTCCGCCTTTCTATGTTGCATAATATATAACAACCAATCAGTGAGTCAATGCTGTACTCTTTTCCGTTTCACTTTAAGCAAGTGAACTCTAATTTATGGACTCTGGATGCTTCCTTCTCATTTGCTTGAGCTTTGTGTTATGTTGGGAACTAGGGATTTAGAGTGCTTACTTAGTTTCTTGATTCTCTGGTCCGCATTCTTGATTCTGAAGTGTAGGAAAAGTTGTTCACTCTGGTATGCCTGCATACTGAACTTCAATAGATATTAATGCGCTATTCTTTTGCTGGACTTGTAACAATGAATGGGTTTACACCAAAACAATTCTAAAAACACTTCCTAGTCCAGTAAACTACTGAATACCGTATTCTTTATTTTGAGGTAGATGGTGTACACTGTCTTCATTAATTATTTAAATCTTGCAATACATGTCATTTCTTAATTCTTCCTTGTAGCAAAAGCTAGTATTTTGTGCAAGGTGAGATATATAACAATTGCTTCATTTAAGTGTCCCCACCTTTTATCAGTTGTTTTCTTACCCACAATTGTTCACTAGTTTATTGACTCATTGTTCTCATAGGAATTACCATTGGTGGTGGAAAAGATCAAGCTGAACTGTTGAACAACAGTTGAGATGACTCTGCTCTTACATCTGCTGATACACTTTGTTGGTTGAAGAGGTGATATGACACCCTCTGTTATTATGTGTCTATTATTTTGTTTGCATGCCAGGAATCGATATTCTCTGCAGCGGTAAAGAAAATCCATTTCTATGCACAATACAACTAGAACCTTGAAATATGTGACTATATTGCCTAGTTTGACCTTATTCGCCTTTTCTCTTGGAGCTGTGAGACACTCCTCCTGGATCTGCACAGTTCATAGTTTATTGTGCTGATGTGCTATCACAACGCACTTCATTATATCAGACAATTTTTTATCATTTCTTTGATATACTTCTGATGCATTGTTGCATTAGTCACGAGCTGGAGTCTGCATTTGAGAAAACACAATGACTAAATCAATCTTCAGATATGAACTCATGTTCCCATTGTGTGGGTTCAGTAAATCTCAACTTGCTACTAATCATATTGAGCGAAAAGTATTACTAGAAACCAAATGTTGC